ATATCGAAAGCCATCTTGATTTGACGAGTGACGGCGGGACCCACGGACGGGACGGGCCCGAGGATCTATCTTTTGGAGCAGGGTTTAGGATAAGGGGATTATGTCGGATAGTTTAGTAACTATGTATTCCGTACTCCGTACTCTGTAGTATATAGTACCTTATAAGGTCTCTTCTACAAAGCCGGGCTTATATCCCTTATAGGGTACACTATGAACTAGGTTTCTTTTTTCCTCTTCTATATCCTTTAGCACCAATCGGACTCAACCCAGTAAGTAGGCTTTTGTTTCTCACATTCCTCCGAGAATAGGCCTGATGGATCAGATGTGGACTTTAAGAGGCAGTGAGAGTGATGGCGCTTAAGCAAGGGGGATTTCGCGTGGCCTATCAGTTGACACTCTTCTTTTTTTCTTTTTCTTTTTTTGGCTTTCAATTTTTGGAGAGTAAATTGGAGAATAAATCTACAGGGAATTAATCATATAATATGTAATAGTATAAAAGTAATAACTCTGTACCTTGTTTAGAAAAAGAAAATATCTAAGCTGCGTGCAAAGGGTATATACAATAGGCCGGGAAAAACGGGGGAGAATACCCCTCCCTTTGTTTATTGGAGGGACCGTGCGAAGACGCGCCGTTTTTGGTCTACATTGGAGAGTACAGAGTAGAGTACAGACATCCTCCGTACATAGGTTTGAATTTTGAATTTTTGAATATTTGCTATCAGGTAAATTCTGTTGATTTAAATATCTTATTATTTATTAAACATTTGAAAGAGAGAGAATAATACTCATATTATAAAATATTGGATATACTAAAATGTAGTTATTTATTGTTTGCTTACCTAAGTCCATCACGCGTCACCCTAGTCCACATCGGGCATCCAACGATCAACAACGCGACTGCGCGTTAATCGCTTTGGACTTTATTTCTTCTATACCTAAGTACCCTCTGAACGACACTTTCGGAACCTTTGGATCATTGAAAAACTCCTTATAAACATTCTTAATATCCCCCTCCCAAGTGGTTTCAAATCCAACTCTCGGTTCCCCCGGTCCTTGGGCAACGGTCACATACCAATACCCAACCCCTCCTCGATTCCGCCCTTTCGCCCTCGTGGGCTGACCTCACCTTTTGTATTGGGGGACTCACCCCTTGCAACCTTTCTTTCGTTGGAACAAAAAAAGATTCCGACACACGCCCTTCTACTTTTTTTTATCCTTTTTTTGACACTGTAATCCAAACTGAAACATTCCACACCTATCGCGCATCTCCTTGATCCGGTTATCCTTGGGTATCAAAACGCATCGGAGTGAAACATCACGAACACGCGTTAGGTTTGTTCCTAGGGCGCATGGGAGATATTGAATTCCTTGGAATCCGCAATGGAAGTGGTATGACTCAAGTTTGATTGAACTTGCCACTCGCACCTGCTCTTGGAAACATTCCAATCCCCGTGCCTTCCTTTCGGATATCATATCCTGGAATATCTCTGAGAATCTCCTTGGCTTCCTCTCTTGCCCTTTCTGGACGCGTTGTTGATTTGAACGCGTCAACCTTGGAACTGTGCGCAAGCTCTCTTTCTAAATCAATCGACTCTCGACTCTCGATTCTCTGGATATCTACGTTCCTCCTTTTTTTTAAAAGGAGAGAAAAAGATATCGAGAGCGCAGTTAGGTTGTGACGCGCTCTTCATTCTACACTCGTTGCGCGGCACGTTGACACATTCCCCCGATCATGGTTGCAACGTTTTCGCCGCACCGGGACTCCGGTGGCACACTTCATCTGCCATCGCACTCGGGGATCCATCACGTTGACGCCAGCTCTGCTATCCGTCAGCTGCGGCGGTCACTTTCGCGCTCCCCCTCCAAGAGTTCAAACTTCTTCCTCAACCCGCGTACTCATTCTCCCTCCAAATCTGCTTACATCTCTTCTCCCTTGTCGCCATCACGACGCGCCTCACAGAACAATTTTGTTCTCTTCCCCTCTCATCAATCTCATCAGTCGCCTCTCGCTGTCCCTTACCCTCCCAGCGCGAAAATCAGTAGACCGGTCATGCGTCGACGCACATCACCCCGCAGTCCGGCCAAACGCGTTTTGAGCGTTTCGACTGACAGTGGTAACGCGACTCCAACTCAACCCATCTCGTTGCCCTCTGGGGAAGAAAATGATTTGACTCTCGACGACCTCGTTGCGCCGGGTCAAAGTACCACCCCAGACAGTCCTTGTTTTATTAACACTCCTTCTGCCCCTTTGAGCGAATCAACTTTTGCGCCGCGCTCTACGTTGTCGCGCATTGAGAAACGGCGTAGTGGGACCTTTGGTAGCTTTACGACTGGCAGTCCCTTGAAGCGCAGTGACGGGATCATGAACTTGGACCAAGCATCGCGAGGCAGCCCTTCTGCAAAGCGACGCAGCGTGCACACTCCCACTTTCGCAGCCGAATTCAGTATTTTCGACAACGAAGTCGAGAACACGACCCCAGAGGGATCTCCAACACGCAACGAAATTCCCTCTTTCCCTACACCTGTCCAACCCCACAGTCCATTTGCGACCATTCCTAAGCGCTCATCCTCTCTACGACGCTCAACCCTACAGCAGCGTGGCGATCGACCTCTTTTTGGGCGACCCAGGGCCTTGGACGATTCAACCGACGCATCACCACCCGAGACACCATTGTCAGTTCGGCCACGAATGTCGTTTGATAGCAGCCTATTCCAACCGGGCAGCGAAAACATTTTCTCTCCTAGGCCGCCAGCCAGCCCGCTTTTCTCCAACTCTCCCGCCAATCCTCCCGCCAATCCTACCGTCAACACCACTCAACCCCCTCGGCCCACCGCTCATCCTCTCTCGCGGACTATCACCCAATCCTCTTCTGGGTCTAGCATTGAGGACTCGCCCACCCATGAACCAGTTCACAAGCCCGAGGGCCGACGAACAATGTTCAACTTCTCCAAATCTCTCCCCGCCGGGGCTACTCGTCCTGCCCCCGTGACTCGGATCACACGAGAAGATGCAGCAGAGACGTTTGCTACCCCGGATAACTTCAGGCTAGTGAAGCCTCTTCCCGCGGCATTCATGTCCACTGGGCTTATCTCCAAGAAAAACCGCAATGCGGAGGAGAATCCCGGATTTAACAAGAGTATGCCAGATACGCCTTGCAAGCGGCCTGTTAATCTTTTCACCGCTGGGCCAAATCCCACAGACCGACTGTTTGACAAATCACGTCTGGTTCATCAATCAGATACCGTTTCTGCCTCTCCATTCAACCCACCTACTACCTCGCGTCCCAAGCCAAGTCCCTTCGCTCGGGGCATGGGAATTTTCGGTAACAGCTTCAATCGTTCCGAGACCTCTCGGCGTGGAAGTTTCGCTAGTATTGATGGTGATGAATTGATCCTCGCCCAATCGCCCTCCTCCCGACATGACAGCCAGCCTCTAAATGATGATTTCCCTCCCACGCCGACCAAACAGCCCTTTCTCCCCTCTCGCACCTACCCTCCCGCCACTTCTCAAATCGCATCTCTGGAGCGACTCTCTGAAACAGCGAGTCCGCTGCACGAGAAGTTTCTGCAGGCATCGCCTCACACTCCCCGCGACCAATACTTCCCTCCCGACCCAAGTGGCTTATCGATCTCCGTGCCCAGTGATCATCAGTATGTGCAGGAGCATGATCTTCCAGCCACTCCAACTGGCCCGCGAGACTCTTGGTCGTCTTTCAGACGACCCAGTCTCCAAATTAGCGGCTACTATGTTCCCGATGTGGACCCCACTCTGACATCCCGCTTTGACAGCGTGGAGCTTATTGGAACCGGCGAGTTCTCCCAGGTTTTCCGTGTCGCGCAACCTCACGACGCATCCTTCCCATCTGTCTTCTCTCTTCCATCCAGCGAACCAAGATCGCCGACTTCCCTCCCTCATCAGGTGTGGGCAGTCAAGAAGAGCAAGCAGCCCTATCTGGGATTGAAAGATCGCGAGCGCCGTATTCGCGAAGTCGAGGTTCTCAAGGCTTTGACCAACTGCGACCATGTTATTTCCTTTATGGACAGTTGGGAGAACAATGGCCACCTGTACATTCAAACGGAGTTCTGCGAAGAGGGTAGCCTGGATGGGTTCTTGGCTCAAGCCGGACTTAAGGCCCGACTTGATGACTTCCGTATCTGGAAGATTTTGCTCGAAATGTCTCTGGGATTAAAGCAAATCCACGACGAGGGATTCATCCATCTCGACCTAAAGCCTGCTAACATTCTGGTCACCTTTGAGGGTACTTTGAAAATTGGTGACTTTGGCATGGCAACACGCTGGCCTGCAGAGGATGGTATTGAGGGTGAAGGCGACCGTGAGTACATTGGACCGGAGATTCTTATGGGTCGATTCGACAAGCCCGCCGATATTTTCTCACTTGGTCTCATCATTTTTGAGATCGCTGGCAATGTAGAGCTTCCTGACAATGGAGTATCTTGGCAGAAGCTCCGCAACGGCGATATGAGCGATGTGCCCAGCCTTACCTGGAGCTCGGAGACCAGCATCTTCCGCGATGCCACTGGAAACCCTATCTCCGAAGGGTCATCTTTTGAGGATCTTTGTACCTCCGATCTGGGGGACAACGACTTTGACGGTGACTTCCTGACAAGTCGTCAGCTGAGCAACCCCAAACCACAGCGACTCGCACGCAGCGGGGAGCTGGTTGATCCACCCAACTTCATGGTCGATGCCAACCATCCACAGGCATTGGACGGCATTGTTCGATGGATGATCTCCCCCGAACCTCAAAACCGGCCCACGGCCGACCAGATCCTGGAAACTTATGGAGTGCAATTTATTAACCAACGACGCCGCGCTGGCGCCACCGTCTTCGAGGGTAACTGGGGCCCTGCTGACGAGATCTTGGCCGAAGATGCCGAAATGATCGACGTGTAATTTAATATCCCTTTTACTATTGTGCATACGGAGGGTGTTGTGTGTGTGTTTTTTTTTTTTTCTCCTGTCCTTCTTTTTTCCTTTGTCAGCTCTTCCCGGCGTTCAACCTGGGAGCATTTCTCTTTTTTTGTCCCATCTTTGATGCCATGTTTTCACGTTACGATATTATCCCTCCACCCTATGCTTCAACGGTTGAGGCTGGGGTTTTCTGTTGCGGGCTGGGCTTTGGGGGCGTTTTCGATCCCTCCGGTTCGGATCTGGGCGTTACCTTGAGCAGTTCACGGATACCACTGGAGTTTGCAAAGGGTTCTTCACCCTGTTTCACGGATCTTTTTTTTTTTTTTTTTTCTTTTTTTCTTTTGTACGATTCAATACCTAGCGTTACGAGATGCCAGAAATGTACCAACCTGGCAGGGTGCTTGCTTCTGGAAATGGTCAAGGCCACTCTGGGATTCTGCTGTATTCGTTCCCACATATTATCTCCTTGGAATCAATCGCCTCGATCTTTTTTCCAGGGATATCTGGTCGAACAGCACGCCTGGTTTGGAAACATCACTGCTATCCTTTTGCTTTTCTTTTTACGTTTTGTTCTGATGATGAATGTGTGCCCTCTGGGCAGTGATGACCCTATCCATTTTCTTTGAGCGTGATCTTCTCTGCTAGTTTGGTGTCTTTGGTTGAATACCTGGGTTCCATGTCTGTAGCAATTGTGGAATTACGAATTGAAATGATATCCTACGAACCTCTTCCATTGTAGATCTTATTCAAGGTAAATGTTGTATATATAAGTATCTATTCTATCTCCAAGCCCTTGGATTGGGAGCTTGCAAAGAGCTCAAAACGCACTGTGACGGAAGTTTCTGTAATTTTTCTTTCTTTGCTATGAGGTATATGCCTTTCTATACGTATTCTATGGCTTTTTATATGTCTTTTGGGATACCTATGTATGAAGAGACTGTTTACATAAGTTCTATGTTCGCCGATCATTTGTTCAAGGCCACTCAGACCTTGGTGTATCTTAGCCATGAGATCACTGTGGAATTTCCAACTCTCTATTATTCTATAGCTCGACTTATAGAACATAGTAACCACCCCGAACTGGGTGCCCGATGGTAGGACTCGAGATATCGGATTTTGTTTAGCAAAAAATAATATCAAGAACGTTATATTCTAAGATAGAATTGGGGTTTTCTTTTTTTATTTTTTTTATCCCTACTTGAATTATCTTTTCAACTGAATCTTGTAATATAGAGGCATATAAAAATATAAATATATAAATATGTAGATATGTATACCTATATACTCCGTACGAAGTAGACGAAGTCAAAATATATTTCGATTGCCACGGGATTTCTTGGCATTTGGCAAACTTCTCCAACTTCTCTTCCAACTCTTATCCTTTCAATCTTGAAAACCTTAGCTCATACCATTCGACTTATTCTATATCCTTTCCCGTCGAAGCTTGGTTTATTACACATCTGGTACAACATGCGCTGCTGCTAAGACCCCGACTCTCCCGAACAAGCTCCTTACACATCAACCTTTTAATTTCTCCCATAATCACAGTCCATATCACGCACCATGGACATTAAAGATTTCGTATCGGACAATCTCATCCGCCTAACAGGCGCGTCAGAACCCACAATCGTCGATTTCGTACTCGCGACCGCCAGCTCAGCCAAGTCGACCTCCTCCCTCCAAGATACCCTCGTGTCCTTCCTGGACGGCATAGATACTAGCTCGGCTGAAATTGGCGCTTTTGCTCGGGAGCTCCATGCCCGCATGGGCAAGGGCGCACAGCCCAGCGCGTCTGCCCCCAAACCCGCGACGAGCAAGGAATCTACGAAAAAGAAATACCGCCTGGTGGACATGGGCGAAGACCAACCAGAACCTGCCCCATCCCTAGGACCCACCAATGTTGAAACAGACCGAGAGCGACGGAGGAGACGGGACAGAGACAGCGATAAGGACAGGAGCAGCAGCAAGCGAGACTCCGAGCCTCGGAGCCGTGGAGAAAAGGACGAGAGCCGAAAGCGAGACCGAAGCCGCGATGCAGAGAGCCGCGACCGGCCACGGACGAGAAAGCTCCGCAAGAAGGGCTCTCAGGACTTCGACGACCGATGGGGCGACGAAGAGATCCCAGAAGACGAGATGTACCCAGAGGAATTCGAAGAATCCCCCTCGAAGCGCACACGACTCGACGATGGTTCCGTGTCTCCCGCACCCGCGCCACCGGCCGATGGTATCGATATCGACCCTAAGACTAAGCAAGAGATCGACCGCCAACGAGATCTTCGTGAACGAGACGAGTTTGCTAAACGACTGGCCAATAAGGAAAGTAGCAAGTCGAAAAAAATCGTTGAGGATCGGACACGCGACAGCGAGGCTGCACGGCGACGGGCGCTGGGCGATGATGCCAGCGCACGGGCTTCGATGATGCCTGATCTGCGAGAAAGGTCTCGGCAGGAATACTTGAAGAAGCGCGAGACTGAACGGTTAGCACTGCTACGACGGCAGGTGGTAGAGGAGGCCCAGGAGTTGCGTGAGAACCCGAATCTGTCTCGCAAGGAGAAGGAAGAGTTTGCGCGCAACCGAGAGGTCCTCCGTCTCGCCGAGGAACGGCTTCGGATCGACGATCACCGTGATGGGTATCAGATGCCATCTGATTATATTACGGAGAAGGGAAAGATTGACCGGAAGAAGAAGGAAGAGGCTCTGTACAAGCGGTACGTCGAGCGCGATGAGCTGGGCCAGGAGCGATTCGTCACAGAGCACGAGGAATGGGAGCTGGAGCAGGCGGCTAAGGCCAAGGCACAGATCAAAAAGGCCGAGTTCGTTGATGAGGGAGACTACGAGTATGTCTTCGACGATTCGCAGCAGATCAACTTTGTCATGGACGCCAAACTGGAGGGCACGCAAAAGCCACTGACGAAGGAACAGCTGCGGTTCAAGGAGCAGGTCGATGCAGCGGAGAAGAAAGCCCTCTCAATGGAGGAGACCCGAAAGAGTTTGCCCATCTATCAATTCCGTGATCAGATCATCGACGCTGTGGCAAAGCATCAAGTTTTGATTATCGTGGGTGAAACCGGTTCCGGAAAGACCACACAGCTCCCACAATACCTCCACGAGGCCGGTTATACTAAGGGTGGCCTCAAGATTGGTTGCACGCAGCCGCGACGAGTGGCTGCCATGAGTGTTGCTGCTCGTGTGGCAGATGAAATGGGCACGAAGATCGGAAATGAAGTTGGCTATGCCATCCGATTTGAGGACAACACCAGCGACAAGACTATCCTCAAGTATATGACCGATGGAATGTTGCTGCGGGAACTGTTGACCGAACCGGACCTGAGCCAGTACGCGGCCTTGATGATTGACGAGGCGCACGAACGGACGGTGCCAACAGATATTGCCTGTGGTCTCCTCAAGGATATTGCCAAGGCACGACCTGATTTGAAGCTGCTCATTTCCTCAGCGACGATGGATGCACAGAAGTTCCAGAGTTATTTCGACGATGCTCCTATTTTTAATATCCCTGGTCGCCGATACCCCGTCGATGTGCACTACACTTCACAACCTGAAGCCAACTACCTCGCCGCAGCTATCACAACGGTTTTCCAGATCCACGTCACACAAGGCCCGGGAGATATTTTGGTCTTCTTGACTGGACAAGAAGAGATTGAGGCTGCCGAGCAAAGTTTACAGGAAACGGCTCGAAAACTTGGGAATAAGATTCCGGAGATGATTATTGCTCCTATCTACGCCAACCTGCCATCCGAACTGCAGACGAAGATTTTCGAGCCTACTCCGCCTAAGGCACGGAAAGTGGTGCTTGCCACCAATATCGCCGAGACTAGTTTGACCATCGATGGTATTGTCTACGTGATTGATCCCGGATTCGTCAAGGAGAATGTTTTCAACCCACGTAGCGGAATGGAGAGCTTGGTCGTGACGCCATGTTCGCGTGCCTCAGCCAACCAGCGAGCCGGCCGTGCCGGACGTGTTGGCCCGGGCAAGTGTTTCCGCCTGTATACCAAGTGGGCGTACTACAACGAGTTAGAAGATAACACCACCCCGGAGATTCAACGTACCAACTTGAACGGAGTGATTCTGATGCTGAAGTCGCTGGGCATCGACCAACTACTCGACTTTGACTTCATGGACCCACCGCCGGCGGAGACCATCATCCGCGCTCTGGAACAGCTGTACGCGCTGGGAGCGCTCAACGACCGAGGCGAGCTGACCAAGGTCGGGCGGCAGATGGCCGAGTTCCCAACGGACCCGATGCTCGCCAAGGCGATCCTTGCTGCCGACAAATACGGATGCGTCGAAGAAGTGCTGTCGATCGTGTCGATGCTCGGCGAAGGCAGCGCACTCTTCTTCCGACCCAAGGATAAGAAGATCCACGCGGACAGTGCGCGCAACCGGTTCACCATTAAAGACGGCGGTGATCACCTGACGCTACTGAACGTCTGGAACCAATGGGTCGACTCAGACTTTAGTACGATCTGGGCGAAGGAGAACTTCCTGCAGCAGCGCAGTCTGACGCGGGCACGCGATGTGCGCGACCAGCTCGCCAAACTGTGTGACCGTGTTGAGGTTGCCATCAGTACCTGTGGAGCTACGAACATTCAGCCAATCCAAAAGGCCATCACGGCTGGGTTCTTCCCCAATGCGGCGCGACTCCAGCGTGGCGGTGACAGTTACCGCACTATCAAGAATGGGCAGTCGGTGTACTTGCATCCATCTAGTACGCTTATGGAAGTTAACCCTCGCTGGGTGATCTACTTTGAGTTGGTGCTTACCAGTAAGGAGTACATGCGCAATAATATGCCTCTGCAGCCAGAATGGCTGGTTGAAGTTGCGCCACATTACTATAAGAAGAAGGACTTGGAGAGTCTGGGGTTGGATCGCAAGGTGACTAAGGGGCAGGGAGCGGCTGGAGAGAAGAGTCGGGAGTAGGAATCTACTGGGCTGTACAGATTAAAATCAATATGAAAACATAAAAGATATTGATAAAGATCTTGTTTCAATAGCCTTACGATGTATATGTATATAAAATAGACACCTTAGGCACACATATCTCACCCAATCACCGCCGGGGCAATTCAAACCGCGGCAAATCCGTTGAACCTCGGTTTCTCCGCTTTCCCCCAGACTTTCTCGGTTTTATACGTCACGTCAACTTCCGACGCATTTCCCTTTTTCTATCTCTTGTTTCTCTTTGTTTTTCTCCAGCTTCCCACCTTTCAGCTTCTCAATTCACCTCATACCTCAAAAATGTCCAAAACATTCACCCCTGCCGAAGTGGCCTCCCACAAGACCGCCGATGCGGGCCTTTACATCATCATCGATAACAACGTCTACGATGTAACCAACTTTGTTGACGAGCACCCCGGCGGCGCAAAGATCCTCAAGCGTGTAGCGGGCAAGGATGCCTCGAAGCAGTTCTGGAAGGTATGTATTCCCTCCTTTTTTAAAATTCTTTTTACTCTTCTCTCTTTTGAAAAAGATGTTATGATCGGCTATCGGCCGAGTCGGCTATTGAAAACAAAAAATATGGAACTAACACCGTTTAGTATCACAACGAAGGCGTGCTGAAGAAGTACTCGCCCAAGCTGAAGATCGGCGAGGTCAAAGATGCCGCGAAACTGTGAATAATCTATTGGAAAATGAAGGAAATAGACTTGAGTGTTTTTGGTTTCGGGGGAAATCAGCCCACGGGCAACCCTCGGTCAACTGCACATCACAGAAACGTCATGATGTTGTATTTACTCCGTTAGCGAACGTTATACCCGCGATTCCAGTTTGATTCTCTTGCTTTGTGAACACCATCTTACTATCTGGGCATGAATAGAACGGAGAATATAGAATATAGGAGATTGGAGACACAGAAAGCTTCATTCTTGGCTCGTGAGCAAACTTATACATTATGTTCAGACATATCAACACAAAAGATCAATACATATATCCAGGATCTGCTGATAGTTGCAATGTCAAAAAAAAAGGAGAAAAAGAAAAAGAAACAAACGCCCTTCTCCCCCTCCCGCTGCACGAGAAATAGTATCCAGATCAAAGTGGTATCAACTCGAAAGTGACAAATGATAAATGACAGGTAATAGATGTGTGAGGTGAGTAAAAGCAGAGAATAAAGATGAATAGGTGACAGTGACAAAATAGAAGGTGATATGTCCCGTGACTTTGTACGTAGACAAGCCACACGGAGAGACTTTGCGATGAACCTGCGCCAAAAAGGTGTGTTTTTTTGAAAGAAAAGAAAAGGTATATGGTAAGTAATAAGTAAAAAGAGGATAAAATCAAACTTATCCACTGTCGAATTAGAATTCCCGCCACGGATCATCAGGACGGTATGAGAACTCGCTCCCATGAATAGAAGGTGTGTCAAACTCATACCGCCTCTCACTCCACTGACTAGAAGTCTTGCGGGTATGGCGTTGACGTGGAGGTGCACGGGTGCGATTAATCTGTTCTGCATGGTGATCGATGAAAGCCTCCATACGAACAGTGCCTATATCGAACATGTTGCTGCCCGCCACACTAGAAGCACGGCCACTCCCCTCGGAAGTGCGTCGACTGATACTGCTGCGGCGGCTGCCGATGCCGGGGGATAGGGATGGAGGTTGCATGGCGGGGAAGTGGAGTTCCGAGGAGCCGGCAGTAGTACCGCTGTGTGAAGATGGCATGGTGCCGGCGCTGGAGAAGCTGCGGAGAGCATGGAGGGCTGGGCGGGGTGCGGTGTTGCTGCGTTTGCGGTTGTGGGTTGAGAAGCGAGGCACGTGTGGTGCGTCGGCTGCTAAGTCGATGCTGCCGCCTGGGATTTCGGGGACTGGGGCTGGAGCGCCGGCGCTGTTGAAGGAGCGTTTGCCCTTTGGCATTGGGCGGGGACGGCCCTTGGCGACGCGGATGGAGTCGCGGATGGGGTTTCGGCGGAGGGAGGTGTGAGGTAGGGTTGGGGATTCTTCTTGTGGGACTGGAGGTAGGGCTGCTAGTTCTTGGAGGCCCATTGAGGAATGACTGAGGAAGGAGAGGGCCGTTAGCCAGACGTAGTGGCGTTCAATCGTTAACGCTGTGAATTTGAGAGCGCGCTGTGGTGTCAACACCAGTATGGAGCGATTGAATGGGGCCGAAGAGCCGGCGCCTTTGGGTATGGGGTTGTCATCTTTGACATCCAGGACGGATTGGATGGTGACTATGACGAGGAGAGATATTAGGTTAGCTGTCACTCCAACCAACTGAAATGAGTTCCTTAAAAAGACTTACACTTCCGGCCACTCTTGCCGAGCAAGGCAGGCCCACTTGTAGGCTGTTTGCTACTCCACATAATAGAGCCTTCGTACGGGGCAAGCCAAACCCATCGTTTATGGCGCACACCACTGTTCGTGATATTCGCCGACACATCGTCGGGGTTCTTGCCCTCCCAATTCTCCTTGGACTCGCCCATACCGAATGATTTACGTCGACGGACGTACTTAAACATCCACTCGCCAACCATAGTCTGGGCAATGGCATCAACGACACTAGTCGGTTGCACGCCACCGGTGGAATCCTTTCTTTCACGCTGTTCACGGTTCCAGGTTTGAGACGGAGTCGCACGGTGCGAGGGGGCGCGTTTCGGTGGCCCGTGCCGCTCACGAGGTGCTGTGATATCGTCGGAGGGCATCGGTGGTGGTGGTGGTCGGTATGGTCGGTATGTGGGGCTCTCTGGAGAAAAGGTTGAGATCGATCGTGAGGGGGAAGAGAGAGTTTCTGGTCTTTCGGTAATATCCGACTGTGGGGTTGCTGCAGCGGATCGCACTCGGCGGAGACTTGGGCGCCGGATGAAGGATTGGCGACCGCGGTCTGAGAACTGTCTGCCGGTTGAGCGAGTAGGACTTGGGGGTCCATCACTGCCATTGAGCGGGAGGTTGCGTGAGCTTAGACGGATGGGCACGGGGAATGGCGGTGCAATGCTTGAGCCTGCACTGCCGCTATCGAGGCTTGGTTCGCTGGGACTACGGGCACGGGGCTTCTGGTGCGCGGCGGCTCCGCTGGAGATCATGGCCATTTTGCGCATTCCGGACTGGCGAATACTCGAGGACGCTGTGCTAGACCGTTGGGGAGCCCGAGAACGGCTAATGTCTGGTGGTCTTGACTCCGGGGAAGACAGTTGCTCGTCTACTTCGGGGAGAGGCATTTCGTCCAAGCTGGGTCCTGATTTCGAAGTGATGAGCTTACCACGGCTGACAGTGTATGCGGCGAATGGGCGGTTGAGGAGCTCATCATCGGTAAAGACATCATGTTCGTTCTGGGGGCCTTCGTCGTCGCTGTTGTGCTCAAACCCGGCGAAGAGACTGCTAGACCGTAAAGGTCGTCGAATATTGGACAAGGCATCATCCGAGAGCGGACCATTGTCATTGTTACCGGGATAGGCCTGTATATGATCTGGACCGGATGCTCTAGGAGGCTTGACGGGGCCGTCTGCCGGGTGATCTGTTACCAGTCGTCTCTGTTTTCGTTTTTCGGACCGTGGTGGAAGCGGGGGCACAGTGTAAGACTCGAGGCTGGGCTCCTGCGGTTTAGGGTGAGGTAGTGCATCTTCATCTTGAATAGCAGACGGAAGAAGACTAGCGGGAAGTTTGACAGGGGGTTGATCGATACGGATCTCCTCGGTTTGAATGGCAATGGATCGACAATCAGCAATTGCTCGGAAATTGGCCTGGCAAGCGATATTTTTGGTTTGCGGGGGTAGGACGACGCTGTTACGAGGTGAGGATGGTTCCGAGCCTGGTGGGTGGATAGCGATCATTGGAATATCCATCTTCGATGAGACATCGTTCGGGGACAAGCTGGCACGATTCTCGCTTTGAACAACATTTGTTTCCGGTACAACATCAGTCTGGGTGGACGCCGATGTCATTTGTACCGGTTCCGGGGTGGATTCAACAGGTTGAGGCGAGTCTGCCACATTGGGCGTCCATGGAGGACTTGGGAGTTCATCCACAGTCTGACATGAACTAGAAACCATCTGAGGTACAACGGGAGGCGTGGCGCTGTCCTTCGTGCCAGACATGTTCGCATTTTTATCGTCTTCATTCCCGGGCCCCGAAGCCGTTTCCGCCGGCCCAGGAACAATGTCGTATACAACCTTCGCTTCTATCGTAGGCGACGGTGGAGGTGAGTACTGGATGCCGATATCGCAGTATTCGACCGCCGAATCCAATTTCACTGGGCTAGCAAGCCCGAGGTCCCGGGCACGGAACTCCGTCGCAGTGGGCGAGTGTAAGTCCGAGCTTTGAAGGGACAGACCCAGGATCTTCCTGGCCTTGTCCGAAATACTATGCGACCCCTGTGAGTGAACTGACATTGGGCGTTCCATTGGGCGTTCTTCGGGGAGCGCCTCCGGAGAGGCGGGGACGTCATCTTCATCAGATGGAACAAACTCGTCTTCTTCATCTAAGTCAAGTTCTTCCGCCAGGTTCAGACCAGAACTATTCTTGGCTCCAGGCGCAATACTCATAACCGAGTACCGCATGCTATGAAATATGACGGCCTCCTCAGCTTCTTCTGAGCTCACGCTGGTCACGCTCGTGCGTCGGCGGCCTAGGCTACTAGATGCCACACTGGCCGAGTCGCTTTCTTTATTCTTGTCATGAACAAGGTCACCATTCTCACTCGGCTGCGATTGCGAGTGGATAGTCGCCACTTCCTGGGTGGCTGCGACCTCGTTCAAAACGGTCTTCAAGCGGCCCTCCACTACGTGAATCTTGCGTTCCAGGGTTCGGCGTTCATCCGCCCAAGACTCTTGATCGCGATTCCAGAGTAATTGGGTTCGTTCGACTTCCTCCTCCCTGCTTCGAGCTTTCTTCTGTGCTTGCTCGAGCTTTTTACGAACGTCGCCGATGTTCTCGACCGCTTCATCGCGCTCGCGAGCTAGCTCGGTCATCGCAGATGACGTCCCACCTTCCAGTAGTTGGATTTGGTGTTTCAACGAGCGCCCTTCCCAGGTCGCCTGGGACAAATTCGCGGTCAATGTTTCATTTTCCGTCCTTGATTCATCCAAGCTCTCTTCCAGCCCGTCGATTGCCTTGGTTTTGTTCTCTATCTCCCGCCGCAGCGAGAGAATCTCCGAAACGAGAGATGCATGGAGAGTAGGTGTGATCCTCCGCGGGTCGAAAGGCGATAAGGTGTCCTCGGTGATATCGATATCATCATCATCTGTTTGTCCGTCGGGTGAGAATGCGGGGGTTGGGAGGCCAGGTGGAGAGGAGGGTGGCGGGGAAGAATCTCGCCGGCGCAAAGACGGCCTTGCTCGTGATCCTTTGGATGGAGCTCGAGATCTGGATTTAGAGGATGGTGCCGGAGACGGGGCCATGGAGGCCGGGGACTGTAAATCGGCCATATCTCTTTGCGCATGTACTGGATGAAAGGCCTCAAATCATTGGGGCTCTGCTCCTTGGGCTAGCCAGAGCACGTCACACACTGGATCCCATCAAAGACTACCGTAGTTCAACCATCCGACTATTAACTGTTTTGAAGCCGCCAATTGTCTCCAGAGACAGGTTTCACTTGGTGCAATCGACTAGTCCAACGCAGGACCAAACGCGGGATGGAGGGGGAATTCAAGGAGACTGTGGAACTTGGGTGGAACTAGAGGTTAGCCATAGTTACAACGCATATGAAATGCACACTTGATCCCAATGTTGATATTTG